TTTTTTTTTTTTTTTTTTTTTGAAGAAGAAGAAGAAGAAGTTCTACAATTCTGATGAAAATGCAGGGAGAGTGAACAAGAGAAAGAAAGAAAGAAACAGAAGTAATGGTGAATCAAAAGAATAAGGCGTTGTTCAAAAAAAGATCAGGAATCAGAATACACAAATGAAAATAAAAACCTAACAAGCTGCTTGTTTGTGTATTTCATAATTAAATATATTTCGATCTCCCTTCCCTTAAAAATCTCTGCTGTTTTTTAATTCTTTGTGAAACTGCTAATTTTTTCACCTGCCCTCTGGTACTCATCTTCGTTTTTGAACAATTTACACTTAAACGGTGTGTACGTAACACGAAGAACGTGCTTTCCCATTACTTCCGGAATACATTTCTAAATTACACGTTTCTTACCTCACCGAATAATTCGGCTGAAAAATTCTACACTATTTACAAGCAACTGCAGTAGCAAATTAACTAACGATAACGTTACAAATGCCTTTTTATCGAATTCAATCTTTGGTAACAAAAAAAATCCACCTGAATTCAATCTAACGAAAACACGACCTCAAAAGCATTCTTTTCAATACTTCCAGCTAGCATTTGTATGCACCCCTTCAGCCGTTCTCAAGAAACCCTAATACAGCAAAGCAAAAATTTACTCATTTTAAAATTGATCATTCATCAAGAAATGCAGTTCTGCAAGGTGACAAGTAGCTTTTTTGTTGTCTTCCATCTTAAGCAAAGAATTCAGGGATCATAACTTAGGCTGAATTTCAAAATACTGTTGGAAGTTAAACTATGCCAATGGTGTTTTAAAGTTCATTTTGTCTCGCATATTGTGTCGAAAAAATTTTTTTGTAAAAAAGCTAAATACGTAAAAGATCAAAATGATGCAAAGTCGAGGTATTTTTTTGCAAAAACTGCGTGTCTAGAAGCTACTGGTCTTTAAAAGTCATTCTCAAACGTATCAGAGTATGGCTTTCAAAACTTGTATATCAAAGTAAACGTTTAGCACAACTTTTCGCTTTTATATCCCCTCAATCTTCATCCAGATCTGTTCAAGCGTTCTTTGCTACTTCAC